AAAGTAACAGCAGCCCCAGGTGGGAAGTATGAAGGAGCAATTTGCATAGTTTTGGTAAGAAGACCAGGACTATACCCTCAGGCCTTTGTGAGCTCTAGGTGAGCCTCTCATTCTGGTTCTATCCATATTCTCTCTAACATCAGCTCACATTGGAAGAGCTTTAATGTCTGTGGTGCAGGGGAAATTTTAAATGTCTCGAAAAACAAATGCATTTATCATAAAGTAAATAAGATTCAGTAACAGTGGGTTGAAATAGTTTCAGCAGACACTAAACCCAATTTAGAGAAACAAAGATGGTGCAGCCATCTTTTGCATTTGTTCCTGTTGTTAAGTTGAATATGAAGTTATCTAATAACTCACATAACTTGTTTTTAAATGTAGTGAGACACATCTGACTGTGACCTTACAGGAGCTGCTCTTTTTTAGAATGTGTGCATCAATAGAGATAACACAAACAACAACACATATTTCACCTCTTTTATAAAATGACAAATTCATCCACAATGATGTTAAAATGTATACAGTCAGTAACTGGGATAGGAATTTAAACTGGCATATTTTTGGCATATTTACAGTAAAATGATGGAGATAGAGGATGAAATAAAAGAGAAGGTAGACCAAAATGTTTGGGTTTTATTTGATTTGGATTTTTTAACTTTGCAGATGAGCTGAGAGACTTAAAGATGAATATGTTCCTAGAATAATATAATGATGTAACCTGTCAACTATGTCCTTAATCACAACTCTTTGCTTTGTTGTGGGGAACTGTTCACTCCATTATTTCATCTTATATTCATACAGTGTTAAAATATTAACGTGTGTTAAGAAAACAATGATTCTAAGATTACCTCAACAAAACAAAAAGTTTTAAATGGTATAAAGACATGTTTACATATTATTTTTACATACTCTATCTATTAAGACCAACCATGCGCTAATCCATCCAACAGTTGGGATATTTCAGTCCAGATCAAGTTGGTGAAACAACCAATGCACCAAATACCTTTGCCATCCCTTCAGCCTGGTTATCTGAACAATTCAAGATGCCAACATTGTGGTCCCTCTTAAAAAAGGTCATATTTGCACTCCAGATTAAAAGGATGCGGAAAACTCAGTAACACGAATATATGGCAAAGTGAGACAGTTCCACATCACCACTGATGCCCTGCAGCAAAGGAAAAGCCAACTGCACCATGTTGCCTGTTTATATCCCCACTGACATCACAGAGAAAATACTAAACATGCACACGCAGCACAACTGAGGCAGGGTGAGAAGAGACAATATTATTGCTTTACTGTCTCAATCCAGTAACACTGAGAGGGCAGAAAGGAAACCTGAGAGTGGGAGGGCAGTGGTGAGACAGTGCACGACATCTTAAAAATTGAGTGAACGAGTGAACGTACCCTGACTCACACCATGAGGGCCGAACCAAAATGAGATGGCTGGTCTACAGAGGATTTACACGATAAGCGTCACCAGCTCGTCCTGCCCTTATTGCTGTTGCACAGCAACAGAACTGGCGTTGGACACAACCAGAAAATTGTAATGCCCCTTGTTTGTTTGTTTTTAAACATGTGTACCATTAGCTGGTCAGTTGAGTTGAAGCCTAATACTTAAGCATTGAGCGTGTCATCACTTGCCAACCCATTAACTCTTTGAATGAATCCTGGGATACATTGGATCGGGACAGATTCAGGCATTGGAGCGTTTCCTGGCGATGGTCAAGATGCATTTGTCCGTCGCATTTGAAGGAGCCTTCGAAATGCAACAGCCTAATCAGACCTCTGTGACACAGACAGTCTTCAGGTGCAGCCTCTGAAGGATAAGGTACCTGCATATGGTATTCAAGTAGTTAAATGTGCCAGTGACAAATCTTTACTCAGCTACACAATCGGCTCTTGGTAACAACAACTTACAAGAGGCAGGTCGAAAGGCTCTGCAGCCTTTTCCAGTACAAAACCTCTTTACAAGCATTGAGCCGAGGAGGGCTCTGACATCGATTAGCAGGGACCAAAATATCACCATCCTGCTGCTGGATAAAGGAGGATGTGCTGTTGTGCTCAACAAAGAAGTCTGTACTCAAACTCCTTCAGCAATACGTGAATCAGTGTACTACACCACAAAATCAAAGAAATCATAGCATATTTACAACGAACGGAGGAGAACACTGATGCTTACACTTCTCTACCTGGAACACAGAGTCCTATCAAGCATGATCACATATAAAGCATGGACATGTAAACAGCTGAGGAAAAAAGCTTAAAAAAAAAACTCACTCAGAGTAGCAGAATGGATCAGATAATTGCCCCTCTCAACTTTTCCTGAGTACAAGGCTGCTTTTAACGGAGAGGAACACTGTGGGGTCTTCAGCGTGTACAATTGACAACAACGCTACATACAGGAAAGTGGAGCAGTGTTTAGTTATGATGCTGCATGTGGAGGTCAAGATAAAAATTCATAGAAAAGATAGTCAGGGCAGCACAACATGAAAACCTTCGAAATTTCATGTTTGGCAAGGAAAACAGAATTCTTGTTTTTTTTTATACAAAGAAACATGTCTGAAAGACAAATTCTTTGAAAGAGGACTGATGCTGCTGTAGGTACAAAATGTGAAAACTGGAACAACTGCCCTTGAACGCTGAGAGAGGAGACCGCGGTTGGTCTGTGGTACAACCTATCACCTACTTAGACTGCTGTCCTGACATCTTTTCCCATGTGACATCACAGCAACTCTCGAACTGTTAAACCTGAGTGCGACCTCAGTGACTCTCATGTGACATCAAGGAATGAATGACCTAATGCACAGAGGTGAAAATGACTCTGCATCAGTCAGCAGAACTCAGAAATCCTTCTCCATTAATGATGAATCTTCCATTTACTTAAATATTACTAGTAATACTTAACGCAGAAGAACTCCTGTGAGTCTGATCGAATCTGAGACTAAATGGGGTTTGCATTATATTTTAAACAGTATGGAAGGACCACGAGAATATTGCATGAATCATACACATACACATGCTTACCTCATGTGCTTTGATTTTAAAGACGAACAACACGACAGCCCACGAAACTGAAGCCAATCATCTTGATCACCCCTGGTGGCAAGCTGCATATAGGTCTTGTATCATGCCTCCTCCATGTTAGGGACATGGACCAGGCTAAAATATGAAAGAACAGGTTAAGTACATTTTTCTTAAAAATGTTTCTGTCATTTAAAGATAGTTTTTATCACTCTGATGATTCACAGGTGAGACTGACTCACAACTTGTCAAGTGCACATATCGGTACCATGATGATGTCGAAGAAGGAAGATGGTGGCACCTGTAACCGGGACATAGCCTTGTTATTTGTAGAATGGGACAAATTGGAGACGTGTCGTTTGTCTTTAAATACAGTCGAAGCTTTACACATGTCATTAATAAGGTTATGTCAAGGCCAAGAGTACTTCTGACTGGCTTGAATAAGGTGAATGCAGGTGTACTTACGCACCAATCAAAATGTAATAACATTTTAATAAAACTATTTGACTGCAAACCTTTAAATAATTTATAGGCTAAATGAGGATCCTCTTTTAAGTTGTTTTAAAATGTCAGAGCTATTTTTTTTCATCTGGTTAAAGGCCAGTTTCGGTGAGCTTTCTAGATTGTGGTTCACCTTCTCACTTGTAGCCTTTGCAGCACCAGCATAGGTCAGTGCATTTTAACACAGTGTTATTTCTCTGTCAGACTGTAGCCTCATGTGTGATATTGTGTTAATGAGCGCCTATAGCCTGCAGAAGGGTTTTTGAGCTCAGCTAAGTGCAATAATGAATTTCCATATGGATGTCAGTAACATGTCACACAATACACGTTGTCACATTAGAAAGCTGCTTGAGTAGCTGATAAAGAGCTGTGACACTCAGGTAGATTCTCTTGAGGAACCATCTGTCTGCTTTAAGGGTTTAAGGCCAGCTGCGTAGTCTGTGAAACCTTTATACTTTTAATCTTGTTCATCTCCTCCACTATCTAAAAAGCACAGATGTAAAACTTAAGCTGAAGTATGCTGTAATAGACCCACAGTTCAAGCACCATCTTCCTCCATCTTTGTTTCTATTAGCACCAGTGTGGAGATGGGCTGTCTGTGCTGAGTGATGCTTCAGTGTCATGTACTCCATCCAGTCGTTAGTCAGACTAGATTTTTTTTGGGAGGGTAGATTTTCCAGTGAGAGGTTCAGAGATTGCAACTTCAATTTAAAGTCAAGTAATAGTTTAGTACTAAAAGTTAATTTAGCCAGACAGTGAGTACAGAAGTGTCTTATCTAAAGGGGCACACACAGTTTATCTAGAAATAAAAACTTACATGGTGCCTGCAGACCTGCCTGCAATTTGAAGTCAGTTTTGTATAAAAGCAATAAATGTAGAGCCTGCAAAGACCCTAAACATGTGCAAAAATGAAGATCTTTTTAAATGTATGTAACAGCTCTTTAATCTCATTTTACTATGACCATATTGGTTAAGAAAATTAATATTTGCAAACGATGACGGAGTCACGACTCGACTACCAGCGACACTGTCAGTAACAGTTCCAACTCAATAGAAAAGATAACCCCCGCTCTTAATTTTCACCTCTCATTTGTAGTATTTCTATAAATAAGCAACCCACTGCAGAGATGACTGCTTTAGTATCTACTTTGTGTTCACACCGGCACGCTCATCCCCAGTGTAGGTGAATGGTCACGTGATATATGTTTTCGGGTGCATTACCATGGAGAGAGATTATTACTGATGCAGAGCTAAAATGCTCAGGGATGGAGATCTTTTCAAAACAAAATGTGCTAGTATGGAAAAAAAATTGAAATTTAATGAAAAGGGAGTCGGAATGAGGACAAATGAAAATCATAAAACCTGAGCATGTTGCTCTTATACATTTTTTCAGTAGACTGGTTTAAGTTCACTTAAGCAATATTTTATTAATTTGATTTTCAAAACTATTTTTTTTTTATAAGTATTTTTACGCGGATTACAAGAAAGTTAGCGGTACAATTGAACATAAAAGCCAGAGGAAATGAAAGAGGAGCAAACAAAGAGAATTTATAATCATCATTTATAGTTCAAGGTCATGTTCCTCGTAGTCATTCAAAGTACAGGTCTCTGGAAAGCAGAACTGACGGACAGAATGACAGAACAAACACAGAACAGCTGAAATGGAGACAGACTGGAGCTCCCTCCTCTGGTTTCGCATCAGCCCAAGCACACATCGGACAATCTCATAATACCACTTGGAAACACACACAGCAAGTTAATTTATATTAATCATTGTCATCATCCATCATCATCACTCATATTCTCGGTCTTCATTCTCACTCATGTAAGTCAGGATTGAGGAGGAAGGCAGTGATTCAACCGGAATCTTTAACAGATCCACATAAGTCGTCATGTCACGCCTTTTGCAGTTTTTGGGGAACGGTTTCGGCTACTACTGGTCCGGGATCGTCTGGTTGGCATTTGTATAAAAAACTATATAGGAACACATGTAAAAACAAGGGGAAATCAAATTATTATTATTATTCAACTGAGAAAAAAAAATGCAGATGTCTTCATAAAATCTTCTATGACTAGCAACACTTAATAACACTTATGTCTTCTTTTTGTCCTTTTTCTTTTTTTATTCCAAAATGGTAGAGGAGCAGTTATAGTTTGCATCGTCTATACAACAGGCTATAAAACACCACTTTGTCACAGTCCAGAAAGCACATATAGATGTGGTTGTACTGTATATAAACATATGTACTGTAATAAGATAATTTTGCGTGCATGGCTCCCGAGTGATCGCTTTTTCAGACGCCCCCAGCACTCGGAGGAAACGTTCCCCTTTGAGTTCACATGACGTGAAGACGAAGGCCTCCAGATTTCTTACTGGCACAATGGACATATTCTTCTTTTAAATTGTAGTCTTTCCAGAGAAACTGCCCCCCACAATCACAGTCGTGCTGCGGCAGCTCAGTCAGTCAGGTGTCAAGTCTTCGCTGGCCGTCACCTCCTGTTCGTTGAGTACTTTGCCTGATTCCACGGGCGTCCATCAGGTAATTTTTTTTTTTTGTCCAAGTTCACGGTTGTCACCAGATTTTTTTTCTCTTCCACCCACATTAAATATTTGGCGCATTTATGTATGTATTCATTTATGCTTTGTGTCATTTTCTCTCATAGAAAAAGTCTCAACAACACAAACACAGGCAATGTAAATGACAACATTGAGTTTGAAATGCTGAACCTGTCTCGTCACACGTGCATCTCTGCCTCCTTGTTTACCCAAAACAAGGAAGTTAGATCACATGTTCCTGGCCAAGGAAACGAGTCACAGGTGGATTAATGTTGTTTGGTTGGTTGACATGTTAGATATGTGTTCAGTTCTTTTTCAACTGGTTGCCAGAGCCATTTTTCCATCTTTCTCTTTCTGGACTGTATATGTTTTCTATCTCCAGTGCTTAAGAGTCTTTATTTTTTCATTTTTCATATTTACTTTTCAGAGCATCGTCTTTTAGGAAAAATGACTAAATAATGTTCATCTTTGTTATTATACTGTACACATGTTGATGTCCTGATTTGTCTTTTTGATAAACGCTTTAATTTGGTCTGGCAAAGACCAAAGTTTCGAAAATCACACGTAATACTCCTTGTCCTTGTTCTTCTTATTCTTCCCCGAGGTCTTTGCAGTGTTGACTGGTTTCTCTTTGACTACGGTGCCGTTGGACTGCGCTGAGTTACTGATGTAGTTGCGACTCTCGTCTACGTGGTACGAGCCTTCATCTCTGTTTCTGTATTTATACATGGCGTAGAGCAGGATGAGAATGCACAGTGCTGCTGCCGCCACAATGCCGACCACCATCCCCGTCGTGCTGCTGGACTCCCTGAAGACCTCCGATGTGCCTGGGTAAGTCTTCGGCGCAGAACCAGTGGGATTGGCTGCAAGAGAGATAGAGATGTGATCAGCGCAAATGTACTACACCCACCATTTTCTACATTTTGTCATTATAAGTATAACTAGATTTATGGTAGTGAGTAAATGCATGTGTGGATCAATATCACAGTTTAAAACTGAATGATAGTTCAGACATCATCCCTGAAGCCTGTAGAAGCAAAAAAAAAAGATGTTGAATGACAGGATTTGATTTGCTGCTTCATAGAAACACATTGATGAGGACACACAAAAACCAACAACGTCTAACATTAATGATCATATGAATTTGCACACACAAGTGAGGATGAGAGAATCCGAGTCAAATTCTATCTGACTAACTTAAATGAATGTACAAAAAGTGGTAAATCTTAGCCCATTAAATGTCAGCTAAAACTGTCAAACTTACTCTGAGTCAAATAAGACACAAAAACCAAATGGGGGATTTTCTTTTAAATCTTTTGAAGATTGTACTTTGTATCTTTGAACAGTCACAAAGTGAGATTTAAGTGGAAATGCCAAACAGTCAATCCGATGAAACTGAAGTATCATTGGGATTTTCAATAAATGTTCCTTTTTAGAGTTTGCCATAAGTACATGTCATTATACCTGTCTAATCTACTGCCTATCATTATTACAACTTTTGCGTAACACTGTCCCGATGATACTAATTGAAGTGTATTGTTCATATTCTGGAGATGAGGTGCTAAAGGATAAAGAGAATTGCTGAAGCTCACGAGAAGACAGTTCACTGCTCATTGCATGTTTTACAGTCATGAATGAACACGCCACGTTTACGACATTCGCTATAAACTCAAGTGTCTGTGAAAATAAATCTTTCAGGGAGAGACAATTCTTCAATTGACTCAGCAGATTTTGCCAAAGGCTGTCCCCACTTCTGTGCTAAAATGGTGCCATTCAACGGAGCATATTCTGGAAACACATCAGCCCCCCTGATATTATTCAGTCCTCCTGGCACATCGCTCTGTGTTTTTGTAGGAGTCATCATTTCTGCTTAAGCTCTCTTTGTTGCTTTTGAGAAATCCAAACACGCAACGGTAACATTTGGAAATGAAAGCACTCTGGTTCCACCGGATTGGGGCACAGAATACTGGAGGGATTTACAGCTTGGTTCAGATCACAGTAACATTGACGTGTTTGTGCTTTGATTTGCATTTTTACGCTGGACAAACGAACAGTAACAACAGAAACTGTGCTGAGATCTAGTTCTGAAATAGTTTCTCTTTGTTGACTGGACAGTTACGTTAAACACATTGAACAAGATTTGCAGTATTTCACTTTGCTGCTGCTACAGAGTCAACGCCCTTGTTATTCCCTGACCTCAGGCGGCGTCTAGCTTAGTCTGGGAATTTTGTTGTTTACATGTTTATTGCTCCTGGAGGCTTGTAGGCTGCTATATTTTGATGCTATTAATTTTAAAGATCCTACTTTGAAGATCATATGCTGCATGTGTTGCATGATAAATTGGGAAAGTGTATTAGCATGCTATATGCTATATTAGCTGACTATAATTCTATTAACTTTACTTAGCTAAAAACCACAAACTGCTCATTCAAGAATATACTGGATACTAGTGATGTCTTTCAGGTGTAACATTCACTTCCTACTGTGTTCCTACATTAGAGCATGTAAACTTTTCAAGTAATAACACAAATTTAAATTATGAACCTGAATATGTGCATAATACACCTCCTTTAATGTAGATACTGTATTTATTTGAAAATGTTTTAATTTGTTATGGTTCATTGTGGTAATTTATTGTATGGCAGCAGTACATTTTGTCATTCTCAGACTGAGGCTTGAAGTATAAGGCCTTTGAGATTAAAAGGAAATACTGGTGGAAAATAAGGTTACAGAAGCAGGCTACATTAAATTCTGTGAGGATATTAAGAGATTGATTATCTTTAAATTCTAGTTTCCTTTCTCTAGCTCTTACAGTGGGGTCATGGAGCTACAGCACTCAGTATTCAGTACAACATTAAAGCTTTTATGAACCATCAGTTTAAGTGACATTCACCGGGCAATGGTATGCTCCCCAGCACACCGAGAGCCGCACATTATATATTGAAACATAGGGCTGAGACATGGCTATATGAGCAAATTAACAGGCCTAATGGCATATACATTAACAGTTAGTGCAATATGCATATGAAAATTCATGTGAACAAGTCATGAGTCCTCGGCATCATATGATTTTACACTCACAATGACAGGTATCATTATTTTTATATTTCAATAAAATGGGTAATTCATATTTATTGAACCTGTCCCATTTTGCTGCCCCACTTTTTCGCCCTTCTGTTTTTTCAGCACAGTTTGGATTTTAGAAAATAATTGCATTCTTCAACTTTGATATTGAAGCAGTTTAAAAAAAAAAGAAGAAATTTCTCTCTAAACCAGAAACCACGACATTGTCTCTTCATTATTAAATTCTTTTGATCTTGGTCAGTCGGAGTAACATTTCCACACGAGTAACTCTCTTTCTGGGCTAGAACCCTCTATCTCACATCAAAAGGAAAAGACATGAAAAACAAAATTTTGCTGCTATTGAAGTTTGTCATAATCACCTTGTCTTATCTTGTCACATTCTTTTTTCACGACGGACTAACTTCTGTGAGCATGAGCAAAGAGTGGGGTTCTTGTTGGCATTCTAGGAAAAGGCTGTTTCTTCCTGATCCATGAAGGATGGGCAGAATAAAGATGATGCAGCAGATCCCATTCTAAACTATACTTGTCAAACAAGAACAAAAGACATGGGTGTGGTTCTCTGAGATTTTTGAGTGAAGGTGTGCCTGTGCTTAACAAAGAATATTAACTAGATATTGTGTGAATCGTCCTGCATATTCTTTCCAATTTATTGTGAATCACATATACAGAAACTTTTTGAGACAGTTCACCATTTTGTTATAGTTGTTAATTGCAATTTCTAGGCATTCATTTGCCTCCATTGATGGAATAGGATCAAATTAAAGGGAAATTCTGGTATTTTGCAACTTGAGCCATGTGTTTATAAATGTGGCTGTGTACATGAATGGCACTTACGAAAGCTTTCAGGATGTGTCCAATAGCTCGCCACAACAGCAGCCACAACATGAAGGCGGTGGCTATAATGTCAAACACTTTTTGGACTGTTGCCATTGCCCCTTTAGCCACTGTCGCTATGTCATGGCTCTGCCGGCAAAAGTTTTTCTAAGTACCAATCGTTTAAACAGCCAGATTTATAAGTCTGTGTCCCAGATTGGAAAATACCAGAATGTCCTTTTAACTTCTGAATGTTACATCACATTTATTGCTTGGAAATGCAGAATGGAGATTCTGTACAGCTTCATAATCTGCAAAGACAATGCCTCTGTGACTAATCTGAATGCAGACCTGCTGTTTGCTGTAAACTCAAGTTTGAATAGTCTACAGTCTGATTTTCATGTCATATGAGAGTGAATATCATTGCCAGTTGATATCTGAAAATCTAAAACTGCATCGCATGCATTTAAAAAGTAAATGTGATATGTAGCTAAAATGTATTACCAAGCAGTTTGCAAACAATACAATAACCCCCCCCCCTTTACTTTTTTCTCAATAATATAGTTATCGTTATGATTGTACCCCAGTGTTTGCACAATACACAACTTTTTTAAATGAACTAATTCAAATACTCAGTAGAACTGAGCACATGCAGCACTTTTGGGAATCATTTCCACCAGTGAATGGTGCACATCAATCTGCCCACTTCATATTCTGAATGCTGTCCAAGTTGTTATACAGCCCTCCTTAGTTCTCTCTCCATTGTCCTCTCTGTTGTCTCACTCAGTGTTTATGGTTTCAGAGATACAGCTCATTTTTGATTGCATTCATATCTCCTCTTGAGTGACAGCTTAATGTTCAGACAAACATCACTTTGCATGGCGTAATATTAGCTAATGACCCACACAGATGGCACAAATGTCTAGTTTGGCTAAATCTCGTTCATGGCAGACTAAAGGGCACAGGAAAGTGTAAACTGTAAAGTTGTCTAAGCTGCCTGCCAGGAGAGGAGACGCCACGGCCACTCATTGACGTTTTCCACCATGGTTAGACTGATCAGTGGGCCGAGTGTGCTTCCAATGCCAGTAGACGTTCAAGGACAAGCGCAGAGTACCACAGGGGGATTGAGTGTGACTGAGTGTTGAAACAGATTAGCTCTGCTTGTGACAAGCCCACTTATCCTTGCGGACAGGTGTGAAGAATGCTCTTGCCTTGTAGGCTATTGGTTGACATGGCTTTTCCACAGCAAGCCGCTGCACATGCATTAACCATGAGTTTCTTTCATATTAGCTATCTATACTTTGTTCGGGGTCAAAAGTGTAGATAACATAACTGGTTGATGGAGGTAGGAGTTCTGTATGTGGCAGCTGAGGGTTGTTTATGAGACCTCGGCTGGCTCCTACAGCGAGGTGACAGAGTTGGAAGAGTTCTGGAGGCAGGTGGTCTCGGTCTGCTTTATCAGGGGTGAACCATGGTGCACTGTTCTTCCATCAATGATCTAACAAGTCAAGCTGTGATCTTATTTCCTCTTGCCTGCATCTGTTGATTGGCTCCCTATAGGCTCCATTCACACAGAGACTTAGGGAAACCCTTACACAAAGAGATTTTTTCTTTCATTACTGGATTAACACTGCAGTTAGGGTGGAGCTGACACAACCACGTTTAAAAAAAAAAAATCATTAGCATTCATCACAGCTCATCAGTTTGCATTGCGACTCAACACTGCCTATCAAGTAGCCACCTGATGGCAGGCAGGGTTGTTATGTAGCCTCTAAGTTTACCTGATGCACTTGATGATGTGGCCCATTTTCCACCCACAAGCCTGGCTGTGAAGCCCTGCCCCGCCCCACCCTCAAGTTGGTCTCCAGCAAAGTAATATGGCAGCAGGCACGAGGCTTCTGAGAAAGGCTCATACGATTTCAGTCAAAATGCATCCGCCTCTCTGTTCATTAGCAGTCCATCACCT